CGCACAAACCAATGTGCAACCCTTCTTCTCCTCGCACCACCGACACTAAAGATAGGAATAGGAAGAAAACTCCTCCCTCCATGCACTCTCCCACCAGCCATCTCTCTCGTGCTCCATGTTTCACAAATATACCGTTGTCTCCTTGCTCTCATTTGCCTCTTTTTAACTTCTTCCTGTGTCTGGGCAATTGATCTCAGTACTTCCAGCCTTTTTATCTCCTTTCTATTCCCCTCTTTAGCTACATTATTAAGTGCCTCTGATAAATTTCTCAAGTCAAAAGAAGATTTATCATCATCTTTATTTTTATTTACACGTTCTTGATCATCAAGGGCCTGCGAAAGAGCTGTTAAATCGTAACATGAAGGTGAAGCAGTACTGCCTTCTGATTTGTCGGTGCTTTTATTGCGGTTTTTCTTGGACTCTGGCTTCATCGTGACAGCCAGCTAGTGATGAACTTGCGAATCTGTATCATATATAAAATCAATTAGAAAAATCAAAGAGTTATGCTAATTTATGTAAAGATTCTTGGAAGAACCTCCAGAATTTACCCTCAACAGGCACTGGGTACGTTTGATGAATATTTTTAGGGAGTCTTTTGCCAGATGACACAGATACATGAGCAGATTACTAATTTAGGGATTTTCCCCAAATAACTAGTTATTGTACGGAGAGAAAAAAAACCTATGGAATGAGTTATCGACATTACTTGAGGGTTAATTCACGCAAAATATTTTTTAGGTAAAATTAGATATTGCTACTTCAAATAAACAGATTACTAAAAACAAAATTTGGCGAAAAACCCTAAATTCCTTTAGGATTTTTACTTTATATATATATATATTCCTTTCTTTTCATGGAAACTAAAGAGAGGGGATTAGAGAGAAAGCTAGGGAGAAAGGCCCGTGTTGTGTACCTGAGACGTGCGGAAATCGAAGATTAGAGAGAGAAAAATAAGCGAAGGAGAAACTGAACGAAAAGATTGTGGAATACTGCTGTGATTTATAGGGGGTTAGGGATTGGTTTTAAGTCGGCTAATATAATTCCTTCCGAATCATCATCTGAATCTAACTATACACTTGTGTTTGAGATAGGATTTCCTCGAGTTTCAAGTCAGCTTCGGCCTGGAATAATTAGGGGCCTGGTTTCGAAGCCCATTTAACAAATAAAAAGATGTGCCTAGCTCATGTTTGTTTGGGCCATTTCCAAATTATCGTTGTATGGGCCTTGATGTGTTCTTCTCGAAAAACGTCTTCGAGATTCCAGTTTTTGGTTTCATGGAGTTGTCCGGACAGGATGTTCTAATGAAATAATGAGATTATAACCATAAGGTCAGCTGCAGCTCTACATTCAGGCAAGGTGACCAGGACTTATTAGCTATTTGCTATCGTTTAATAAATGATCAATAGGAGAGTTACCGAATTTCCAACATACAATAATAAGCATAAACAGTAAACAACCAAGTGGGAAAAAAAAATTAATTCTTGGGAGTATTATGAATCATGGTCATTGGGATTCTGAGTCTTGCTCCACGACAAACGATCCCTCTTCCTTCATGAATCTCATGTTCAGGCTTTTTTTTTATTTTCAACCCGTAGGAACTATAAGATCACCCCAGAAATGCCTTTGACATTTAGGGGTTGCGGACCAACTATAAAATCCTATTAAATAAGTAGAACATATTAGTTGTCTGCTCTTGGGTAGTGAGGTCCGAGAATGTCAATCACTCACTTCTAAAACCAATATTCTTAAGATAAAAAAAGGGGGCCTTCCCGTCCCTGGATTTCTTGTAGTTAGATCCTCCAGAACTTCAACAATTCTTAGTTAGAATGGGATTCCAACTCAACAACTCTTGAGATTTTAAAAAGAGTTGCTCTTTGAAAAACGTACGGTATGACAAAAGTTGAAAGCTGTGTTCGGTGAGGGAGTTCTTGTCTATTGTAGATCTCTACGGTAGAATCAGTCGGGTGCCTGAGAGGTGGTGGTTTATTCTGTTGTGGCGGCTTACCTTGTGGTGGCAACTAAGAATATGAAAATTGCGGCATATCCTTTGTGATGATATACACTACACATCCCTTGCGGCAACTAAAAATACGATGATTGCTCAAAATATAGTTAAAAATGCCTTTTTTGTGTAAGGGTATTGGATAAGCCATTCATGTATATTTATGATGCATTCATATAAAAAAAGTCTATTACATGTGCTTTTGAATTAAAATCCAAGATAATAATATGAAAAAAAAAAACAAAAACACACGCACGCACACAAATGTAGTATCTTGAGAATAAGAACTGCTATTAATTAGTTTGGGACCGCTCCAGAATCAAATGACTTTATATTCTCCTCGGTGATTAATTATTTATTTACAGTTTAGTTTTTTTGGTATTATATATATATATATATATATATATATATTTAAAAAGAACTATTTTAAAATAAATTTTTTGCTGGATTTATACGTTTTGTACATTTATATTCAACCTTGTATGATAGTTATGGTAAAAACTAGCAATTACATGGAAATAATATTTATTTTTTACTGGGTATTAACTGTATACAAAACAAACATCTTTTTTAATTAATGTAGCTCAACTAGCAATAAAGTCTCCTCCCGATGTAATGCAATGGAATGGATATTTTATCTGGCTGCAGAACTTATTTTAGCAATACAAACACGCATGCATGAAGTTTTATTTTAGTCTATGTAAAGTTTTATTTTAGTCTATGTAATTTTTTAAAATATTATTCTAGTTCTTATATTTTTATTTGTAAATAGGTCCTTTTATTTTAATTATTTACAACTCAGTATTTATAATGAAATTTTTTTTGCAATTAAATATCTATAATATAACTCTTCACCATGTGACTATTCATCGCATGTTTTTCTTTTTATGATGTTTGTAGTGTAACAAGTCAATGTAATTGTAATAATCCATTGCATTATAATTTTGAAAATTATACAACCAATCATAGAAATGCAATGAGCCGTTGCATCACATAATCCATCACACTCAATCAAACATGTCTTTATTAGGTTTTAATTATTTTAAAATTATGTCCTTATAGTTAAAATATTTCCCCCCTCTCTAAAACAATAAGAAACCTTTTTATTTATATTTTATTTAATTATTCATAACTATTATAATTATGAATCAATTGGCTGAATTATCAAGAGATAATATAATTTTTACAGTGCATTAAATGAATTTAGTTCACAGTTTGTAATGATCTGTTACCTACTGAATAATATTTATCATTCTTCATAAACAAAGTGTGCTTTCGAGCCGTAAATGTACAATAAATAACAGTATTTAGAAATCGTTGTTCCAGCCGGTTTAAAATATACAATAAATAAATGTATGTGCTAATCAAACCATATAAACTCTATAAAATTTAGTTATATTTGGCGTGTCATTACGAGATCTCTTGTATATGTAATCTAATCTTTGAACTTAATCCAAACTAGTCAAGATAATATTTATAATAAAAGTTAATTTTTAAAATTATTAAAATTATTTATTATTAAAAATTATTTTTGACATAAAAAAATTTAAAAATATATAAAAAATTAATTTTAAATAAAAAAATCAAATCTTAAAAAAATATATATATATGAACCGTGCTCCAAATATCCTCTAAAAAATAGAATCGTTAGATTTTAAATAAATATCATGCCAAATGCCAACACTTTGTTGTGTATTACTCGTCGTTGTGTATTTTTAACATTGAACCTTATTGAGTTTTCCAGATGATAATTTGATTGAAATGCATTATATTTTCATGTGTGTTTGGTAATATTGTATATGATATTTTTTTAATGAATTTTTTTTAATAATAATATATTAAAATCATAAAAAAATTAATTTATTAATTTTAAAGTAAAAAATAATTTAAAAAGCATTTGAAAAAAATTCAACTGCATTACTAACCACACCGTTCAATAAAATGTATTAAAATATATTTTTATATATTTCTTATTGAAATTATAAAATATAAATATTTTTTCAAACACATTATTAGCAAACACGTCATACGACACCACCCATCATGTCCAGGAGCTTCTCTCTCCCGATCCAACCAGGAAAGGATAAACTTATTTTTGAACATCATCTATCCTGTTTATTTGGAAAATCACAAACCTTCTGGGAAGGTTTGATCGTACTTCTTTATCCATCCACAACGTTGGACTGTTCTGTTCATCTTTATCCATCCATACTTTTTCCGCAACGTTTACTGTTGGTGATTTATTGCTGATGATGTTTAAAAATTTATTATTGTTTATTTTTTAAAATATTTTTAATTTAAAAATATATAAAAATAATATATTTTTATTTTTTAAAATTTTTGTATTATTAATATATTAAAATAATCTAAAAATATAAATAAATTTAAATTTAAAAAAATTAAACAGATTATTTTTAAATAAAAAAATATAAAAAAATTTAATTTAAAAAAATTAGACAGATTATTTTTAAATAATTTATGTATTGATATCAAAAATAATTTTTTATAAAAATTTATTTTTTATTTAAAATTAATAAAAATTTATTAAATAATTATCGCATATGTTGTCTAGTCTTGTGCAATTCAAATAACAATTAATAAAAACTTATTTTTTTATTTTAAAATATTTTAAAATAATTTATGTATTGATATAAAAATAAATTTTAAAAAAATAAAAATATTTTTAAAATAATTTTTAATAAAAAATACTTAAAAAAATAATTTCTAGAACATGCCAGAGCGTCACATAGATATTTATCACGCACTTTCCGCGTAAGACAGATTTTACATGCTCTCTCAATGATTATGGTACGAGAAACAATTCATGTCCTCAAAGTGTGTCAGTCTTCTGAACGAAGCCCTATTCCTTCATCTCCATCTATCCAATATCATTAACCCACGTCATCAAAGAGGCCCCACTAGCAAAATCATGACCCCATGAATGAGGAAAATCCACAACCCGTAAATATCCAACAAATCTCAACAAAATTAATGTTCTATTTAAAGAACCAAAGACCGACATGAAGGAAAGGCAAAATTCCCTCCAATTACAAAGAGAAAAGAAAAGATTTTTAACCCGAAAAAAGAAATGTCAATATCACAAGAGGAAGAAACAACAAATCCTAACCCTAATATCAATTCCAAGACACTACCAATACCAATACCAACACTGACATCCTTAAACAGAAAAACCAGAACCTCTAGCTTACCAGAACTGTTGTTCAAAGAGCGAGCACTAAAGCATGGGACTTCGATAATGAAATATCGGTCAAATAGCCCGTTTGCATCACCTCGACCTGTAGCATCGCCTCAATCTGTCCCACAAAGAACTTTAGGCTTCCATTCTCATGAACCGACGGGACTCGATTACACCTCCCTTCTCAATGATGAGATTCTCCTTCAAGTCTTCAGTAAAGTCCCAGTTTCACAACATGTTTCCAGCTCTCGTGTTTGCAAAAGATGGTTGTTCATTCACGGACGTTTGGTGCAATCAATAAAGGTAATAGATTTTCGTTTCGTTAATTCGGGTCGGGTTTTTACCCGGTTTCCAAATTTGGAAAATATTGATATTGCCCATGCTTGTATTAAAATGCCTAGGAATTCTGGGATTCTGATTACTAGGAATAATTCATCTGTTTATATTGGTACTAAGTTGTTGTCTGATGTGTTTATTGAAGAAAGTGATTTATTATCGTCGGATTTGATTGATAATGGGCTCGAATTGATTAGTAAATGGTATCCCAATTTGAGGAGAATTTCTGTATTTGGCAGCAGTGAAAATGGATTGTTGTGTGTTTCGAGTAAGTGCAAAATGTTGCAAGAATTGGAGTTGCATTGTTGTGGGGATATGTCTTTGAAGGGGATATCCGGGCGTAGGAATTTGCAAGTTTTGAAATTGATTGGGTGCGTTGATGGATTTTTTAATTCGATGGTGAGTGATATTGGGTTGACGATATTAGCTCAAGGGTGTAGGAGGTTAGTGAAGCTTGAACTATGTGGGTGTGAAGGGAGCTACGATGGGATTAAGGCGATAGGGCAGTGTTGTCAAATGCTTGAAGAATTGACTATTAGAGATCATAGAATGGATGGTGGCTGGCTGGCTGCATTATGTTTTTGTGAAAATTTGAAGACTTTGAGGTTGCAGTCATGTAAGAGTATTGATTCAAGTCCTGGTCTGCCTGAGCATTTGGGGTCTTGTCCTACACTTGAAGAGTTGCACTTGCAGCAATGTCAGATGAGGGATAAGCAAGCGGTGAAGGCTTTGTTTTTAATTTGCAAGACTGTTAGGGAAATTGTTTTGCAGAACTGTTGGGGATTGGAGGATGAAGTATTTGCAACTGCAACTGTTTGTAGGTATGAGTTTTGTCACTTGGTTTTTGCTATTGTCTCCTTGTTTGTTGATGCATTTTAAATTATAATCTTGATATTGATAAGAGCAAGAGGATGCAGGAAATTCAACCTCCAAAAGGTGAACTTAAACTGCGCAATTTCAACGTGTATGCTATACAAGATTTCCACATATAGCTTTATTTATTTCATTATGTAAAATAACGATTATCCTTTCCATTCTCTTTACTTGGTACCTTTCTTCATTTGGAAGCTTAAAGTCTATTTGAACATGCTAGAAAAAGGACTTTGACATGGATGGCAACTGATGGAATTTTGTGGTGGTTATCCTTTAGCTCGCCAAATTTAGCATTACAATGAGCAAGCATGTTGCTAGCATAATAATTATTCAAAGAATTTCAAGGAAACAATCTGAAATTTGGCATATTACTTAATGTAGCACTTTCCATCAGTCTTTTGATGGGCCTTTTTGTTTCCTTTCTTGATAGGAGGGCAAGGCTTTTGTCTTTGGAAGGATGCTCATTGCTGACGACAGGTTGTTTGGAGTCAGTTATTCTGAATTGGAAGGAACTTGAAAGACTAACAGTAATTTCCTGTAACAATGTAAAAGACAGTGAAATAACTCCTGATCTGGCAACTCTGTTTTCTGTTCTGAAAGAATTGAAATGGCGACCAGATTCCAAATCTCTCCTGTCAGCAGGTCTTGCAGGGACTGGAGTGGGAAATAAAGGTGGCAGATTTTTCAAGGGATTGAAAATCTGACTGGAACATTTGATGGCTAGTATATGGTTTCAATTTGAACATTTGATGATTTCTTGGCAGCTACAAACTAAGTTGACGATAAAGTGTACTCTGTAGATTATAGTAATTTTCATATCTAATTTAGACGATTTAGCACAGCGGTATCAGAGGAGGACCTGTCAGTGTATTTCTCAAAGAGCCCGCTAAAGCGGAGCTTATGAGAAGCATTCCAATACCCTAGAACCCCCTTTGATTTGTGGGGGTGAAATCCATGTCAAATTGAATTTCTTTTGTCAGTTTATGACTGGAGAAGTTTTCTCCAACGTTCAAATAGGCCAGATATTCTAACAGAGCTAGTTAGTTGCTAGGAATGAGAACAAAGTGCAAGATTGATGGGCCTGCTAATACAACAATTTTTTTTGCTGCTTTTATTTTTGTGGATCTCTATGCATGATTCATGAAGTTTTTAATCATTATACAGATTATTGGCGATGCTGCAGCTTCAATATAGGTCCAAGGAGCTTTTTATCATATCTTGTTATCGAAAACATTTTGGAAGGTAATATTTACTGTTTTAATACTAAATTGTCACTCAATACAGGATCCTTGCAGCCTGTGTTTTTTTTTTTTTGGGTCTCTTTGTTTTCTTTATCTTGCAGAAATGACCAACATCATTAAGCAATGACAAGAAGTATCTATTGGATGTCTTCCCTCTCAGAAAAACTTTTAGAAGTTACGGTTCTGCAGTGACAGGACCAGGGGTACAAATTGTTTGCTGCTTGTCTACAGATTTCATGTTGCTTATTTGTCAATCGGATCAAGGTATCAGTCTTAACCTAGTACTTGATTATTGTCTAATGCATGCTAGATATGAAGGACAACGATGGAGTGAAAACTAATGTACAGGCTGATGTTGTAGCGGGCTATTGGCAGCTAGATATGAGAAAAAGAAGGTCCAATAACTTATCGTCATAGCGTATGAACTCGAATGACGGACCATAGAAGAAACTGATTAAGCAGAGGGCAGAATTCGATTGTGAGAATTCCTTATGTATATTGCTGGTGATACCTTGATTTCAGAAGACTAGATAAATACAGTTTCAAAGACAACTCTTGATTGATATACACAGAAAGGTGCTTGGAGAGGACTGCCAAAGAAAATTGTAGCAAGACGGGTGAAGTGAAAGGTGCAAGATCTACTTACCAAAAAAAAGAAAGGTGCAAGATATTGTTTCACTGTAGAAGATATTAAATCAGAGAAAACTGTTGTAAGATGAATAATACTAGATCATTGTTTTATAGTAACAGGCAAAAGCCTGCTGTGCAATATGCAGTGGCTATAGACCATAGTTGAGAACCCTAATAATGGCTCGATGAATTGACTGTGGGGAGCGGCAAATATGGAGACACAAGCTGGAATTTTCAGACCAGTACAGGTTTTTTTTTTTTTGTGGGATGGGATTATAACTTTGGCAAGGATACATCATGTTCACAGGCTAGGATTTCTTCTCAAATAAAATACTGTTATTAACTCAAATTATTTAATCATCTACTAACTAACATCTTAATGAGTTGATTTCAGATCGAGTGGTTGAATTGGCCTAAAACGATAATGTCGTCGCGCTCTACAAATATGAAAATAATTAAATTCGGTGTTATTAACGGCTGTTAATGATGGTTAGTCTTTTGTGTTTTGGGCCTACTGGACGAAAGAAAAAAAAAGAGAGGCCCAATTTCGAAGAAGTTGACCAAACTAATTGGGCAAACCTCGGATTAGTCTGCAACTACTTAGTAATTCTCAAATTAGTCTCAAACTATCGATTTTCTCAATTTGGTTCTAAAGTATCATAAGCTTCTCAATTGTGTCCTCCTGTTCATATCCTTAATATTACCGTCTATTTATTATTATATCCTAGATGGAAACGACGTGTTTTGAGAAAATGTCAACATTTTCCGTTCAAAAAGGGGAAGATTCTAAAAAAGGAACCCAATTGAGAAACATATGATAGATTGGGGATCATATTAAGAATTCATTTATGATTAGGGGACTAATGCGAGGTTCTCCCAAACTTATTTCCGAGGCATCCAAGTAGTAAACGAACGACGATTTTGACATCTAAATTGTCTGAAATCTGATGTGGCTAAACACGATTGGGTACCCATGCGTGGAAGTGCATGTGTTTAAACACGTAACCCCGTGTATAAAATCCTAGATTTTTACACCCTAGAAACCGCAAAAAGTAAAGAGAAGAGAAGAAAAGAAGTTGTCCAAATTCCAGTTAAAGTCCCCCCACCGATCTCTCTCTTCTTCGAATCAATTAAGGTTTCGATTTGCATCTAATTTCTTGAATATCGTTTGTAGATCTGTGCTTGTCTTTGCATCGAATTGTTGAGATTTGTTTGCTACTTTTGTTTTGGATTAATTTTTTATTTGAGTGAAAAACAATTAGGTTTTTTATCCTAATTATTTGTATCTTGTAGATCTTAGGGTTCTGCCTCATGAATGGATGTATTTTTTTTTCTCTCTTGATAATCGAGATCTCAATTTTGCAAAAATACTTTATGTATTATATTTCATAAGTAATTTGTTAATGTCAGTATTGATATCTGGATAAATGCATGTATTCGTGGTTTGTATGATGATATGGGGAAGAAAATACTGAAAATTGGTTTTTGCAAGGGCTAATTTGTTGAGTAGTAAAAATGGAACAAAAAATTGATTGATAGCGTTGAATTTTAGATGGATTTGTTTGAGGTTTTCTGGGTTTTCATGAATTTTGATAGTAGCCATGCTTTGTGTGCTTCTTTTGTTAACGCCTTTGATGTATAGTAGTTTTGTTAATTAGTGATATATTAGTTCTTGATGTCGCTGATTTGTGTGTTTAAAGTAATACTGATTTGGGCTGAAAAGTGAGATAATTAACCGGGTTGTCATTTAAGAGGCTGAAATAGTTGTTTGTTTGGTGGGTTTCTTACAGAAATGGCGGTAGGTGGAACTGCTCCCCCTAGAGGAAGTGCAGCAGCAGCTGCAAGCATGCGAAGGAGGAGGACAACAAGTGGTGGAGCTTCAGGAGGAGCAGCTGGGACTATGCTTCAGTTTTATACTGATGATGCTCCTGGACTCAAGATCTCTCCAAATGTCGTGCTTGTTATGAGCATTGGTTTCATTGCTTTTGTTGCCATTCTCCATGTTGTCGGAAAGCTTTACCTTGTTCGTAGGGATGCTTAGTCTGTATACGAAACTCAGTTTGGTATCTTGAATTTTGGATATTGAATCAATAGACTAATGGCTTAAGCAATGGATGTCTGTTTTGAATCAGCAGGCTAATCGTTGTTGCAATTATCACATTCTTTGTTTACTACACGAACCAAAGTTTTTTATTTTCTTATTTATGGCGGTTTAATGACGATTATGATTTATCATCTTTTGACATAATTTCACAGCACATGATTGTTCTAATGCCCACAAGTCATCGGCGATTTCACTTTTTTGTTAAAGTTATTTTGTTTATGTAATTCAGTTACAGAAAATAAATTAAACAAGCCATGCTAAGTTAAGCGTCTTGAAAGAAAAACCCTCTATGCTGGTGGTGACTGAGCCAGATTAACTATACTTCTTTTGTGAGGAAGCAAGAAGAAACTCTGATGAGGCTATAATGGTCTGAGGCCTCTGGAAACTCTCTGAGGTTTTATGATCTTTTACTGTTTTAGGAATTTTCTAGCCGAATTCACATGATGATAGAATCATTCTAACCTGAATGACTGAATATTGGAGTTGGTTCTTGTGATGCAGTTCTGGACAATGATGTAGATTCACTTTATCGAGACCTTGCAGCATCGTATTTGACCAGGAATAATCTTATACTCCGACGAAATAGTATGTCACAGAGCTGAAAAAGCAAAGGCGCACCGAGTATAGCTTCAAACTAGATTGGTGGTGTCACGGGCGGGTCAATTTTTTTTAATATAAAAAAAGAATGTTTATGTGATGGTAGTTTATTTAAAAAGAAATAAGATTAATTTTCTTAATATATTAAAAACAATTGTTCAAGTGATGATAGCTTTTTTAAAAGAAGTAAAAAACCATAAGACTCGGGTCATTTGAATATAATTAACTAGAAAAAAATAAGATGTTAATAATGTACCTGAAAAGAGAAGAAAAAAAAGTTTGTAGGTGACTTCTTGTCATTCCTCTGCAATACCACTCGAAGAGTTTGCTCCATCACTAGAAAAGTTTGTTGGAATGGTTCAAATGCTACTAGAAATTATTATATGACGATGCTGAAAAAAGCCATACAAGTGTGTTAAAGCAATGATCTTGAAAGCAAAGTAAATAAATTATTATAAAAAAAACATTTCATGACTATATTTAATCAATTAATGACATTTAATTTAACAAGGAACAATAAATTAAAAAAAACTCCAAGATAATCCACTTAAACAAAAAAAGAAATGATAAAACAAAGAATCTAGAAAGCATATAAATAAATAACTGAACTCATTCCTCATTTAAATAAATATTTAATGATGAAATTGAAAGAACATAAGTTAAAAAAAAAAAGAATAGAAAACTAAAGCAAACTCGAGTGAATTTTCTAAAGTTGAGTTAATCTCCTCAAGCTTACAACCCAGTGAAATCCAGGCTCAATAAAAGCTAAATTCCAAACTAATTTAATGTTGAAGAATAAAATCTAAAAAATCTAAAAAAAATTACAATAAAAAAAATAAAGATAAAATATGATAGAAAAAACGTAAAGGATGATGAAATTTTAAAAAAAATCAATTCTAGAAATTATCTCAAATTAGACAAATATAAATTAAATGAATGAAGATCAAATCTCAAGAAAACAAATTGAATACAGATGAAAATAAATCTTCATTTTATAGATTATTTAAAATAAAATAAATGATAATCAAAAAAACATAGATTAAACCCTAAAAAAAACAAATTGAAAGGTGACGTGAAAATCAAGAGGAAGAGATGAAAAAAACAAAAAGAATTGTCAGTACCACACCAGAGATATGTTTGTGTCACATGCTATTCAGGGATTGAGCAGATGTCTAGAAAAATCAAATGCTGTATTGGAATCTCATTTTCACTATTAAAGTCAATTAGATGTGCTATCTAAAGATAACATAGTGGCTGAGGCATGTATTGCACATATTAGTTATATTTTTTATATATCAAATTGTCAAATTATTCATAACTCCAATTGATAGCAATAAAAAAAAGTCAATTACAAAACTACCCTCATCCACAAGACTTGTAAATTTTAATTATAAGGGTAATTAGGTCTTTTCATTGTGCATTTAATAGTAAAATGATGATAAAGCCCCAAATAGCCATTGATTTGTTTATCAATTAATTCAAGGGAAAATATGTCATTTTAATTTACATTAAAAGGTGAAATTATAAAAACATCCTTTCATTTAAACTTTATAATTTTTCACTTTTAAAGTTATTGTTGTAATTTTACTATTCAAAAAAAAAATCTTGAGTTATCCATGATCAATTGTAAATGCCTAAATTGTCCCTATACAAAGTTCATTTCACGCTTAGGCATTAGCATATGAGGTTTTTTCTTTTTTTTTTCAAGGGCAAAACGATGAAAACACTATTCTAACCCACAATACAAGTCTTTTGTATTTCTAATACAGTTTAATAACAATTTTGAAAAAAATAAAATATATTGAAAAAGTATTTGAAAAATAGCACAATTTAAACACAATTGCTATTAGCTATAGCAATTGTTTTAAAAATCATTTTCCAATCAAATTAATTGATAGCAAGAAAAGTTAATTTAAATTTTTATAAAGATCTAATAGTCAAAAAATAAAATTCAAGATTTAATGGTCAAGAAATAAGAGGTCATCGGGAACACACTAGAGCTCTATTTTCGACACATTTGATATTGTTAAAAAGGTCTCGCCGAAAAAATTCTAACAATACTATGAAAGATTATCAAACATGGCTGTAATTTGTTAGGGTTTTGTTCAGGGTTAATTAAGACCTTGTTTAGTGGTCTCTCAATGTATAATTAAAGTCGTCTCATTGAGATCTTTTTAACGGAATCAAATGTGTCTAAAATGAATCCCCAGTATACCCCCAATAACCCATTTTTTTCTTTTCATTTTTCTTTCACACTGCCATATCACCTTATCTTCTTAGCCATTGAAATTTGAATCTTATATTTTAGTTATTAAATTTTCACAAACTTTTGAGTTAACTTTTGATAAGATTAGTTATTTTACAAAAGAGAACATCAATATACAATTAATATTTTTAATAGTGGTTGTATATAGAATTGATATTAAAATAATGCTATTCTCAATAGTAACTATGTATAAAATTAATATTGAAAAATGTGATTATATTCAAACTATGTTATTTTCCAAATATTTTTTTAATTTATGTTATTCTCTCAAACTTTTTACCAAACCATGTAATTTTTCAAAAAAAATCATCAAAATGCATTGTATTTAAGGTTACAACGTTTGGAGAAGAGTTTTATGCCATACACAATATTTAGTATGTTTGAGAAAACTGTGGAAAGTATGTTTAGATGAAAAATAAGAATTAAATTGATTATTTTTTTAATTTTTACAACACATTCCTTTATGGTTTTTAGTGATTGACTGGATAGATTGTGATAGCCAACTTTATTTGATATCATGATAATAATTATTTTGTAAAATATTCTATTTTAAAATATATTAAAATTATATATATTTTTATGTTTTAAAATTTATTTTTAATATCACATTTTAAAAATATAAAAATAAAAAATAAAAAAAATTATAAAATTATTTTTTAACCGAAAAACAGACAGGCTAACACTTTTAGCCAATGCTGATTGTTAAAACTAAGATTTCAGGGGATGTTTGCACAATCCAAGATTCCCTGTTCTCTGTAACCGACGGTGATTTCCCTGATTTCATTTTGTAATCGTACAAGTATGTAATCGGGATAACTTCCCTGTAAGTTTTTCTTTGATCAATGAAAATTTCAATAAAAAAAGATGTCAAAGACGAGTCCTTGTCTCTCCTGTACTGTATTTGAATTCCAGTAGCAGCAGCGTCAACCCACTTGATATCCATCCACTGCCAATGACACCTCTAGCCTTGAACTGTCTTCAGGTTTTCTCTTTCGAGGAATCAGATCATATATAATGAAGGAAATTCAGTCATGTATTGAAATGACAGGTCATGCCGTTTCTCACCGCATTTCAATCTTCTCCCATGCTTTAGGAATCTATATGTCCGGTAAACAAAATAAATAAAATTTAAACTGTTTATGCTTTCCCTCCCTCCCTCCCTTCCTGTCTCTGTTGTTCAATCAAGAAACGCATAAGAACTCCAAGAAGACAAAAGATAATGAGAACAACAGCATGCAAAAACATCTCTCAATACAACACCACTGCCCATAGAGCAAAACCCACCATCAATCCTTTGTCCATCGCCACGAACAGGGCTTCTCGGTACTCTTTTTCCTCTGAAACAGCACTTGGAAACCCGTGGCCTATAGGGGCAGCTGCACTTCATGACAGTACTATTTCTGTTGATCGCCCGGTATGGAGCCTCAGTCCTCTATCAGCAGCTTTGCCAGAATCCCCACCACCCATTTGCAGTGACTGCTCTAGCCCCCCTCGTAGTTCTGCCACAATATTCTATTCTTTGGCTCCTACCGTGCTCTCCACTTCAAGATTCCAGGTTTTCCTTCAAGAAACTGGTTTCTTGTTTCATGAAAAGCATAGACTCTTGCTTTCTTGAATATTTATTCAAAGGATTATCTGTTACCTTGATTTGAAATGATATCCTTGCTTGTGTTCTACAAAGTTTTGATCATCTTCTTTCTAACGCATGTCGTCTTTGATTTAGAGAAGGTTCTTTTTGCCCTAATCAACTGTATTCTTTCCTTGATGACTTTACTAATTCATAGAGAGAAGTCTTGTTGTTCTAGCTTAAATTATTTTGTTTAAACTGTCAGAGTGCCAGGTCCAACTTTAGTAAACCACCCGTATCAAGCAATATCGAAATAGAGGAATGTGTTCAGAGTGGCAAGAACTTGAATGGCTTCCATCGTCACACAGGTCCCTCTTTCTGCATGCGACTTTTTGTGTGTCTATGCAAATGCTGTGTTCTAGTTTTCATTTCTATGTTTCACTAGACGATGGAATCGCAACGCAAAATTGCCCCTCAAAATACCGCTCGAGGCAATCTGCGGTGGCAGATGCAGAAGTTCATAGTAGGACATCATCTTCTTTTCTTGATGACGACAACGAGAAGAAGCATGGGCATTCCGACCCAAAATGCAACTACAGCATAAACAGCTCTGATGCTGACAGCGTGGATTGTGGAAACCACAAACTGATGACTCGACCAAAACCTTACAGTGATTTCTTAGATGAGATCAAGGCCCCGGAGCTTGAAGCTCAGATGGGTGCATGGAAGAAGGCTAAACATAGGGAACTGATGAACAAGTGAGAAGCAGCTTGCCAGTACTTCATGTTCATCAATCTAAGAAACTCTTTTGTACACTAATTTTCTATCTTCCGGTGCATTCTTTTGCAGGTTGAGAAGAAACGAAGCTGTTATTCGTGATTGGGAGTATAAACAGACACACAAGGCATTGAAGGACATGAGGAAAGTAGAGGTATATGCAATGTCCTTACACCAAGATACTTACTCATGCCCTAAATGGTCCATGGTGTCTGGTTCATAGAATCTCAGAGAGTAATGGATGAGTAATAATTACTAATGAAATTGGTTTTTATAAAACAAAAAAATAAACTCCTGCTCCTTCACTGCACACAAAATCTGCAATGACGAGTCACAAGACTGTCATAATCCACAGTGCTTGACATTGCAACTAATGCTGATACTCTGATTAGCACTATATCATATTTTACAGAGGCATCTGCTTTTCTTATGGGCGCACAGAACAAACTGGAAAGGAAGCGGGCTGAGGCACTAGAGAGAGCACAGAAGAGAATAAACAAAGCAAGAAAGGAAGCAAATAAGGCGTCGGGCAAGGTAATTGAATCAGCAATGAAGAAAGGAACAAAAATTGCAAAAGAATCTGACATCCGAGGCACCCAAAACCCAATTTGGCGGAGGCTTATGAACTTGTGTCCCTGATATTAGAAATCACTTTGTTTCCTGTAGCCTCTCCTTTTTATGAAACTGGTCTGTTCTATTCTCGTGTCCACCACCAGATATGAATACAAGCTTCCTTGCACTCAACAACACGACATCTTTTGGGTATAAAACACAAAATTATTGATTAAGCGACCATCAGGATTCACTTTTGATTGGAGGCATAAATCGGGATTCCTGTCCATTTTCCTGTATACCGTCGTCTAGACAGGGGGTCTGACGACAGACAGCATCACCTTTCAGAATCCAGGAGATAGATGACATGGTTGCGAACGTCAAAAATCAACATTCAAGAAAATATCATCTATTACAAAAGAGTTCCTAGCACATCCAGGGTAAGATAGATCAATTTTGGCAAAGGCCAATATTGACGACTTGCTATTATGCCATCCATTTGTACAGTATATTACACGTCAACATGATGTGAGAGAGATCTCTGACCGCAGTGCCTTGGAGCATTAGCAAAGGGAATTGATCCATGATGAAATAGTACATGTACAAAAGGGGAATTTTCAGACCTCTAAACATGTTTACAAAATGATTTTAGTCGCAGACTAATTTGTAATTTGAATAGTTCAAGGAGGCATAATGCATAATCAGTACACTTCAATGTGCGCTCTCAGAAACCCAACTGGAGGCCATACTGTCATCCATGGGCTTTAAGCCTCCGCATGATCTTGCAACCGATTCAAAAAGTTTCTCTATCTCCGGTGCGCACCTTATGAATGATCGATTCCAAAAGTTGTACCTAGGATTCTGCAAAATACACGCATCAATCTCCAGAAGAAACTTGCAGTCAATTCAGATCACAGAAGGCAATATTCTCAAGTGTGGTTCACCTTGATGAGCTCGATGAAAGTAATCAGAAGGCCCCATGGATGTGGTCGATTAACAATTAGGCGTTCCAAAAGCACTCTTGTAATCTGCTCTTGGATAATTTCCTGCCAACGGAAAAAACAGAAGTATCAAATACAAGCATTTCACGCCCACCGAAATAACTAAATAAACCACTTAATTCTTCATATACTGAAAAGCCTATTTCACATGTCTGAAATCTGGAAAAGAGGTCTTTTAAGTGCTGTTGTCATACATGTTACCAAAGACATTATCAATAAGCACTCTGCACTCTTAAATACACACACACACACACACACACACACAAAAGGAGTCGTAATAAAACCAAAGCAAGTCCCACAGCCGAGTTTGCTAAGCGGTTCCGAGTGAGAGGATTGAGTGGAAACCCCAGTCCTAATTCAATTGCTATTCTTGTGAATAGCCATCACCTGTCTTGCTATCGCCCCACACTAAAAGTATCCAGTCAGTCTTGTCTTATATACATATTTTATTTCATTTCGCAATGAAACTCCGTGTGGGCGTCAAAAACAACAATTCATCTTCTTTGGCATTGAAGATCTAGAATGGACACTGATTCATATTTAAGTGCCATTTATCAAGTTATCCAGCAAGATTCAGAGTGATTTACAGGTGTATGTGACAGGACAAAATAGAAGGCACATTGACCATCAAACAAAACCATGTTTTACCTGGTTTGATTCAGCAAACAAGTAAAGCAAGACAAAAGAGAAGTAATGTGTATGGTTGTTCGGATAGCGTAGTTGATTGGCAACGGCATTTAGAAAGAGGTATCGGCCTTCAGTGTCTAGGTCCAGTATTAGCGTCTGGTAAATATCTAAAGCAGCATCCACCAAAAATACAGCTAAAGGAACAGTATTCCCCGCCGATTGTCCATGAGGTGTTCTTGCCTGAAGCTGCTGGATGGCCTGTATAATAATTCCAAATTAAAAAAAAAAATTCATTAAATTGTTTCCTGACCCTTTATTATACCATCCCATCTAACAAAACAATCAAGCACAACTTCTGAATCTAAACGGAACTAATATGTCAACAAGGGACATCAAGAGGAAAAAGATCTAAAGACAAAATACAACACCATACCATATGCATAGATAACAGCAGATTGTCTGTGAGACAACAAGAAGAAAATACAAGAAAATGGCCGACAGAACAGAGGATTACCTGCATTCCAGCATAAAGCACAAGGGAGTTGATCAACGGTACATTATAGCGGGGTCCAGCAGACACAGCTTCACTTGTTATAAGGAGCAATCTCTGCTTCAATTCAGTCAGGAATGAAGAACCCTGTTGCCTCGTCTGCAAAGAGCTCCAAATTAAATAGCTGAGAAGATAATACTAACAAGGGTGACATCAAAACAATATACTGCAGACCAGGATGTGAATACTTAGAATGGTATGTAGTGTGAAGAATAGAACAGAAATGCCTGGTTACAAGTGATTACAGCGAGTGAAAATAGTAACAGATGTAAATGAAGATGCATCAAAGGTATTATGTAATTCATGAACCAAGACTCAAAGCACAGAAACAAGAGAAATTATAAAATACCTTGAGATACTCATCTACATCAGCTTTCATCTGCTTTGCTTTAAGAGCTGCATCAACCTCAGAAAAAATGCGAGGAGGTTCCATAATTTCTGGTAGCAAATCAATCTGAAAAAAAAAATTAAACAGAGAACCAAACCTTCTGGCATCAATTTTCACAACCATTAAACTCAAGATCGGATCTGTTAGATGAGTAATTGATTATTGACAGAATATAATTAATAGACCTTTAAGTTTGGAGTAGATGGATCTGGCAGCCTCATATTGAGAGGGAAAGCACTGAGAATAATATTACGCATTTGTATGCAGCTTGGAGGAATCACATCACAGAAAGTGAAATGGTAATCACAAAGGAACTCTGGGAAATCATGCAGCAGCACCAAAAGCACCCTAAGCGTACCTTTATAAAGCAAGTGAACCTACAAAGAACTAGATCAGACACATCATTTTAAGCTTATAATGAGCTGCAAACAAGTAAATAGAAGTGGCATACTGGCACTGCTAGCTCTGCGTTCCTCAAATATGGCTCCAGGAACTGGAACAAATCCACCAGCAACCGCTGGACATAAGGCCAGCCCTTCTGCGCGTTTCCTGTGAGCAATCTTGGCATGAAACTCCTATGACTCACTAATGAGAGCCACACATAGCTGCAGAAGCATTTTAATCAGATAAGCGATGCACAAAGAGCAGGGGGGAAATAACTTTCTGAAAATAAATTTCCAATTCTGAAACACTAATGTCCTAGGCATAGCAACTACAAGTAGGATGGTTAAAAAACTAGATCTCTTTGCTCACAAGTTTCAAGAATGTTTAGGGATTGGAGTTTAAAATTTCTAATATTGATGGTAGTTAATCATGCATATCAACTTGAAGTTACAAGAAATTCAGAAAGCAATTTCTGTGCTCTGTATTTTTAGTTGGTTATTGTCATTCTTGAAAACATTGTTCTACAACTCATGGTTTTGTTAAATGGAATTTTTTCCTAGGATCAATTTTGCGCTCTATTCGCCCCCTTCATCTTCCTTTTTGTTTCTGTCTAGGAGGAGGAGGAAGGGAAGGGATAGTCTTGTACGATTAAAAATTGGAAGGATCATTGGCTATGGCCAAACACTGATGGTCTAGATGCAAACAAAGAAATTTACTATTCATGGAACAAACCTAAGGTTCAGAAACAGAACAGTTTTGCACAAAAACCTTCCCAGTATGTTGAAGGTGTAACTGAAAGTTCAGAAAGACACTTGCAAGTTAGCGCAATTTTATCCTAGTATCATGATTTTAGCCAGAGTATCCAATCCATATATTTCTGCTTCAGATAAGCCAGAAACTTGAATATATGTTCAGGATATTAACGCATTGTCGAAGAGCTTATCATTAGCATTAGCTGCACAATTCATAATACTGACCTGAAACCAGGAACTTTAAGAGGCTGCAGATTATGGAACACACCAGCAAAGGCTGTCAAGATCTGTAGCACATGCAATCAACATCACTGAGCAAATACTGTTTGAACAGACAAAATGATGTCTAAATGAATCCAAATAAGCAATACCTGGAAGTTTACACCATCAATAACAGGCTCTGGGGAAAGGAGGTCTTGAAGCCAGCTTATAAACAATCTGAAATATGGTCTTGCATTAAAAGAATTTTTCCTCTCCTCTGAATCCTTTTGTATGAGTTTCATAGTGACACTCAAAATCTGTTGAAATACCATAAACATCATATAAAACGTACGAGGCTAAGAAGAAACAAGAGCAACAGTAATGATTTTTCCCAAAAAGAAAATTCTTACGGTCTATATGTAACTCAAAAATACAAGCCCCTATGGATAAGATTTACCTTTGACAAAAGAAAAAGTTTACTTGATCCCTGCTCCACCTGACAGAAAGAAATATAAATTGAAAGATGTTACAGCATCATAAACTGAATACAAGATCAAGGGGAAAACTGTGAAAATGCTTTTAATCAGCAGAAAAGTTTACCTTTAGGATTGACAGGACCAATTTTGCATAAATATCAATAGCAAGGAATGAGAGACTCTGCACTTGCTGAGGTGATTGCAGTGCACTGGAATTGATCACCTCAGAGGACAAGCAGTGCGCAACAGAAAGCTCCTGAAATATTTTGTAGAAATTATAAATGAGCATATTCAACATTATTCCTGCAATATATGTTCAAAGGAAAGAGAAAGTACCGTGAGTACACGGAAAAAGCGATCTGTCATTTCATCCCCCTTCAATAATCCATTTTGATGCAGCTGTAAGATGTAATGGGTAGAAGCTGCATCATTTGCACCAGGAAGTTCACATATCCGGTACCATTCCGCAAAAAACATGGAAACCTACATTACATAAGAACAATATAAGCAATTGAAAAATATCAGAAAAGTAATAGAAATTTTCTTATACACCCTCCCCAACTATTAACATAAACAGAAGATGACAAAACAAGGAAGATAGAAGTCATCAATATGTGAGAAATGGGTTGCATAAGAAAGGGAGAGAGACACAAATGTAATCTTTAAATTCCTCTACTCTCAGGAAGATCACATGGTCCCTTCAATTTCAATGATCTTCCAAGAAATCCTTAAGAGAAGTTTGCAACTTTGACCAATCTCAGAAAACAAGTGGCCTTGCACTGAACTCTATTAGAGACCAGCATGTGAAGTTTCTCA